CATACTATAATGTTTTACTAGGTAAGAACTAAATAACACCAGATCGTACTATAATGTTTTAGTAGGTAAGAACTAAATAACACCAGATCGTACTATAATGTTTTACTAGGTAAAACTAAATAACCCCCAGATCATACTATAATGTTTTACTAGGTAAAAACTAAATAACGCCAGATAATACTATAATGTTTTACTAGGTAAGAACTAAATAACACCAGATCGTACTATAATGTTTTACTAGGTGAGAACTAAATAACACCAGATCGTACTATAATGTTTTACTAGGTAAGAACTAAATAACACCAGATCGTACTATAATGTTTTAGTAGGTAAGAACTAAATAACACCAGATCGTACTATAATGTTTTAGTAGGTAAGAACTAAATAACACCGGATCGTACTATAATGTTTTACTAGGTAAGAACTAAATAACACCAGATCGTACTATAATGTTTTACTAGGTAAGAACTAAAACTGGCTTACATTGTGCTGTTTCAGTAAAAAATGTCTAAAATTAGGTCAAAATGTAGAACTTCTGCCAAAAGCAAATAAATTAGAATTTTGGTAAATATCCAACACTGGTAAACAAGTTCAAACCAGAATCTTCAAAATGAAATGAAAAATCTGGTAGGATTATGAAACTGATACAGATACAAAAAATTGTTTTAATTAATTAATTTACTTTCTAAAATGAAAGAAATAATATTATGCCATTTATCAAACAGCAAAACATCACTTCAAACATCATGATGATAAAGCTCACATTTACTAGCATACTGTTTCATTTTTCTGTCGTCTCCTGATGTGTTTACGGACTTAAAACTATAAAATCCGGGGTTCGATTCCCCGCAGTGGACAACACACATGTAGTCCATTGTGTGATTTTAGGCTAAAAACACCAACAAACAAACAACGTTCTTCTGCTACAGGCTTTATGTCATTACAGACGAACTGACTACCTACTTTCGGTGTTAATTATATTATAACAGGCTACAGGCTTTATGTCATTACAGACGAACTGACTACCTACTTTCGGTGTTAATTATTTATTATTCTTTTTAGTTGTTTAATGTTTGTTGAATGTCAGCAAAGAAAGGTGTCACGATATCATCATATAAGCGTGCTGTTGTTTGTAGTATTTCATTTTTTGAATATTAACCTTTGAGAGTACTGAAAAATTTAAGTCTGATAATAAGTGATACGTATCAATGGCGAATCAACAAAAACCGTCTGTGAATCGAGAGTGAGGTTAATAAAAACAAATCAACGGATCTGGTTTCTCTAAATGAGATTTATAGTATATGATAGGGAATGTCAGGGTGTATCACTAGTAGTAAACTAATAAACAACGATTTGTTAACAAAATTGTGTTTATTGTATAAAATATACATTTTTCGATAGTATCTTGGTCTCTCTTTTTCATCTGCAATAAATTTCATTGTGTTTACAAACCGTTGTTTGTTAATTCACTACTGTATTAGCGAAATGTGCTTCTATACACAAGTAGGGTATACAACACCTGTTTCACAGGCGTTAAGTGTTAGGAGAAAATAATCAGAAAATCATATGTCTAGCTAGTAATACTGCTGTCGTTTTTGTGTTTTGTATTAAAACTCTGCTTAATAATTAAATTTTTAATCAGAAGTTAAAGAGTCCTACAAATTATTTAATGAAAAAGTAAATACTAAAAAAGAACGAAGCAGTTTTTTAAATCTAACTATTCAAAAAAATAATAATACATAGTTCAGCATTTCTATAGCTTTAGTGAACTATGAAATTAAAATTCAATAAGCCTTAAGATGCATAACATCGCATTCAAACCAGGACACAAGTTAAGCCTATCCGGAGTGATAAACAAAACTGACCCCCCCCCCCCGTGTTCACTTTCTAGTACGCACAATGATAAAAAACCATATTAAATCTAGTCTACCTTTAATAACTTCCTTATTTCAATTTTTATATTTCCTTAAGAGCATCTACTTTCTATAACTGTTGGCTACAAAAAGTGACCACTAGCTTAGATGTGGATCGTATGGTTTAATAACCTGCACACCTCCTGATCGTTTGTCTCATCTTTTATTTTTAACTAGGAAATTTCTTCATCCGTTTGAGGCTTGTGAATATGTTATATTTGATAAAGGAATATCCCTATCTGTCGAGGATTTTGTTTCTTCAGATATCTCTTTCAGCAAGACAAGTTTTAGTGTTTTCCCTTTGTAGTTTGTGCTTTGGGGTTACCTTGGGTGTTTTTACGTATCCACCACTACTTATTTTCGGCTTGATTGTTGAATAAAATAGGGATTAAGTGGATTTATTCAAGTTTTGTTTTTAGTGATACTTTTTAAGAAATTGCAGGGTCTCCCGGTGTGACAGCGGTAAGTCTATAGACTTAAAACGTTAAAATTCGGGGTTCGATTCCCTGCGATGGATACAGCAGATAGTCAAATGTGGCTTTTCTCTAAAACAAACAAAATGTAGGCTGGGTAGCCAACTTTAGGGGGTAAGTTTTATCTGCAATTAACAATTTATATATTCCAATTTTCCGTTTTTACAGAATAAGCTACTTTCACACAGCTAGGTATATAAAGTGTTTGGTAGTTTATATGTGGAAACTATGAAGACAAGAGCATCCATATCCGCCCTTAATTTAAATTTATTTCGCATCTGCATGTGTGAAGGAATGTTACATCGGTATGGTGGTGTTCGCTTACCAATGTGTGGTTGGTTCTACTGTCCCACATACCCTTTTCACAGGGGGACACACTTCCGTTCCAAATCCGTAACTTTCACTTAGTGGGAGCACTGCTAAATATTTTGAACGTGGTCATTGAATATAGGTTATATCTAAATATGTGTGTCTGTATATATATATATATATATATGCACTATTTATCTTACA